TATGATAAAATTATTAGTTTGTAATATTATAATTGATAAAATATATTATTTTGTGGAAATACTTATTTATTTTGAAATGGACCAGAGAAGTAAGGGACAAAAAGAGGATGAGAAAAATGAAGGTAAAGAAAAGACAGAGATTAAAGCGCCGTTTCAGTGTAGAAAATTGTGAATTTTTTAAAGAATAATTATTTCAAAGTAATTAATCGTTTAAATTTTTTATATGAACATAAATAAAATTTGTTTTTGAATTTTTATAAGTAATTTAAAGTGAAAAGGTGAAAAATATTTTTATTAATTTTTTAAATTTTAAAATTAAGCTTCGAAGTGAATTTACAAAAAAATAAATTTTTTTTACTGCCAACATCATTTTTTCAGAATTCAACTCTCAAGAAAATAATAATTCATGATCAAAATGGTAAAAGGGAGATAAGATAAAAAAGAAGTCAAGGGAAAAAGAGAGAAAAACAATTTAAAAAATAAAGAAGAAAAAGGAAATAAAAATATATAGCAAAATGCATATCAATTAAAGAGATGTTGCGAAAAAAATCAACTATTATTGTTTACTTTCACATGCTTAAGTGGAGTAAACACATTTTTATCCTATTTGACGGCATAAGGTTATATAAGGGATCAATCTTTCTTCAAATTTTATCACACTTTAAAATGATACAAATTAGTGGAAAGCAAATGTTAACAATAGATTAGATTAAAACTTGAATTATAATATATAGATTTGAGAGCAACTTTTTATTATTGATAACTATTTCAAAAATTATTGCCGCGCGAAGTGCGGCTAAGTTCACTAGTTATTATAATTTCAAAACATTATGAGCATGTAAAGCCAAAATGAACTCAAACAATGGTGACCTAAAATGACCTCTTCTCATATTTATTCTATATTTAAGCTATTATCCAGATATAATATATATTTGACTAAATATACATACACCGTCTTCTTATTTTTAAATTTTATAGATAAATCTAGCACTAATTTTTAATCCCGCAGTATAAAACAAACTTATACTTAGTTAATACTTTATGTTATTCATTTGTTTTGTTAAATTTGACTTTATTCATTTTGATCTTTTCCGCCCTCCTCTAACCAAATATGAAATGTAATTATGTTTAATGAATTGAATTTTGTAGAAAAACAATAAACAATACAACTTGAGCTTATAATGAAAACGTAAGTTATACCCTTTCTTTATAATATCAATAACAATTATTGTGTCTAAATTATTCCAAATAATACAAATATTTCTTTTTTGTGTATATAATTTTTTTAGAATTACCTCATCCTCTCTGCCTCCATATTATTTATATTTATCTTTTAAACTTTTTATGCAAACATTTTTCTCGATAGTTTTAAGAACTTACATAATAAACAACAAATAAAAAATTACTTTAATTATTAAATTTTATTTCTTTTAAGAAATCAATTATAAATTTTAAAATTTGATTAGTAATTAGCAGACTTTAAACATAATTAAGTTACTGATTTGAATCAAGAAAAAAGATTTATAAATTTTAAACTCGATTTATAATTATAGCAAAATTTCAACCATAATTAAGATAAATTCGTGAGGAAAGAAAGAAGTTCGTATAACAATTAAACTTAAGAGGCATCATAAAGATACACAAGAAGGAAAGAAAGAAATAATACAATACACATATAAGAAAGAAATAATACAATACACATATCATTGTGACTTTAATCATTAAAACTAAAAGTAGAAGGAAAAATAAAATCAATACATAATTGTCTAAGATCTTGTCATATCATTTCACAAGCCAATTACTATTATTTGAAATTCGTAATTTTTATTTGTGGTACTTTTAATTTTTTTTAAGTATAATATTATTTTTTTCTACTAATTATTTAATGATCTATCATTAACATTAGAAATCAATGGTAATTTATGGATAGAAAATCGAGAAATAAAATAATCAAACATATTACCTAGTTAATAACAATAAAATATGAGAAAATTTATGTGATAGGATGGAAATTTCCAAAATTTTATATGGTTTTAAAAATATTTTTTAGTTGTTAATTATTGTGATTTATAATGATTTTTAGATAATTTTCAAATAATATGTATTGCTCTTTTTGTCCCAATTTTTATGTAACACATATAGAATTAGAAAAATCAACCACTTTTCTTATGTCTTTTAAATATTTGAAGTTGTTAATTATTGTTATTTATAGTATAATTACGTAATTTTTAAATAATATATGTTAGTTTTCATGTATAACTTTTAAATATTTTAAATTGTTAATATTATGATTTATACTATTATGTACGTAATTTTTGATAGCTTAAAATTAAACAAACTATAATTACCGATTTACCACACCACGAATTAATGAAATCAAGTTTAAAATGAAGAAATAATAATGGGTTCCACATGATCACGATATTGCTAGCAACTGAAATTCTTCTTGAAAAGAAGAGAGTTAGCAAACAGGTGAAGCACACATGTTGACGGTGTGCTGCCTGCAGTGCTAACTCTTACTTCTACTTACTAACTACTCCCTTTGTCCCATTTTATATGAGGTACTTTGACTCGGCACGGAGTTTAAGAAAGGAAGGAAGACTTTTAAAACTTGTGGTCCAAAATGAATGATAGAAATTTGTGTGGCTGTAAATCATTTCATTAAGGGTAAAATAGATATTTTATAGCTAAATTGTTACTTAAAATAGAAATGTGTCATTCTTTTTGGGACTGACTAAAAAGAAAAGTAAGTCATATAAATTGGGACAGAGGGAGTAATATATAAGCCACAATAACCACACAACTCACGGTCGACATGCCTGTCTGGCATTAAAAGGCCAGGGGTAATATGGGTATTTACATTAGTATTATGCTTAACTACGGTTGTACATCGCTGTTTTACGGCGTATATTCTCATCAGTTGACATAAAAGCCTGTCTGTATTTTGTTTTTTACTTTGCTTCAGCCGAAAATTTCTTTGATTTTCCATGCATGTGGGCCCATTTATTCCCCCTATTTCACACCTGTAACCTGTTCAATTTTGCTTTGCATTTATTCCAAGTCTCTTAATAAATATGGACCCCACCTCGCAATTCCATTCCATTTCATTCTCTTTAATTACTCAATTTATAATATTGTAATTTATAAAGTATATATATTACAAAAATGTTACGTATTTTATTGTTCTCTCTTCTATTTTAATTTATTTGTCTTGCTTTCTTTTTAATTTATAATATACTCAAAGATTACATTTAAGATACTATAAATTATTATAATTAACAATTAAAATATATTATTACAAATTTGAAAATTACATAACATACCCTATAAATTATAATAATTAAAGACTTAAAATATTTTTATGTGAGAGGCTACAAACACAGTATTCTTAAACACACATAATTGGTTAAAAACTTAAAATACTCTATTATATGTTTAAAATGATGTTAAAATTATTATAATAAAATTACGTCAAAAGTGTTATAAATCACAATAATTAGCAACTTAAAATATTTTTTAAAAAAATAGAAAAAATTTAGTTGACTTTTAAAATTCTTGGGAAGCAGCTGCTCGTCGACATGCTTGCTTCCCTAGCAAGGGGCAATATTGAAATTTTCTTAATTTTATGCTGAAATAATATTGTACATGACTACTTTAGAATTGTACTTTCTCTTTATAGAACACAAAAATCAGTTCACAGGTTACTTTTTTACCTTTATTTAAGCCGAAAAGTGGGGTTATTTCCCATGCATGTGGGGCCCTTGTAACTCTCTATTTCGCTTCTTTCCAATTTTCTTTTCACTATTACCCAATTGCCTCTTAATATATGGACCCCACTTGAGTAATTTCCATTTCCACTCTTCTGTGCCTCATGAGTCATGACTATTTCTTCAAAAAAAAATCGCTTTGTTTATTTCGTGGAAAATTAACTTTTTGTAATTTAATTGCTCAATTTCTTATACTTTAGTTACAAAATATATTAGAGGTACAATTTTTATAAAAAAAAACTAAAATTTTAATTTTTTTTTAATTGAGTCTTGAAATTTTACCAGTGTCACATGAATATAAATAGATGGAATAACATATATTATTAAAAATTACGTAAAAATATTATAAATCACAATAATTAGCAATTGAAAATATTTTGATTTGCTCTCTAATTTCATATGTCCCATTTACATTGAAACAAAATAAGTATCATATATTATTTGAAAATGAAGTGAATGCTTATTTCTATACGTGTGTCTCATAATAAATCATAAATATTTATGCTGCTATAGATCATTTGATTAAACATTGAAAAAGAATTAAATTGATAGAGTAAGAAAATCTAAAAAAATTACAATTTTTTTTACGTAAAATACTATAAATGATGACTTAAAATATTTCAAAATCATATAAGAAAATTGACTGACTCTCTAAATTTCATTCGTGTCACATAAGTTGGAACCAAGAGAATAACATATTATTTTAAAATTATGTAAATTCAATAGGCCACAATAGTTTACAACTTAATTATTTAAAAAATATCTACAAAAATTAAACGGCTCTATAAATTCTATGTGTCACATAAATTATGATAAAATAAATAACATATGTTGGGCCCGTTCTGGCACGGGCTCACATATCTAGTATTAAATAAGAGAACATATCCGCTATTTTTGTTTTTGTTTCTTAATTGTTTATATCTATTTAGTAAATTTTTTCGACGAAACTGGATGTCACGTGACACCCCTTTACCTTCCTAAATTCGCCCCTGTGGCTAGTAAATATATCAAATAAATTGAAATGAATGCGATAAATATTTCACTTCATTAAATCATTTAACCATGATAAGTTAATATGGTGCAGTGTGAACACTCCTTCTATATAAGTTTTCTCTTTTTATTTTTCTTTTTTTGCTACACAACATAGAATAGAAATGTTCTCCCAAAAGAAAAGTGGTAATAATAATCACCTTGTCTAAAACAAACAAATTAATCAAAACATACAACTCACACTTTATCTTATTATTATTATTATTATTATAACATATAGTAATTATAAAACCCTTCATTCAAGCACTTACAAATTATAGAGTGCAAGAACAACATTGACTAATTAATTACCCTACAATTCTTTCTAATCTCCCCATTAGATCCAGTAAGAGGGCTAATATTTCCCATCTTAATCATAGAATTAACAAAGTCACTAAAAAAGACACTTGAACTATTACTATAAGTTTCTACCAATGTTTTAGTTGTTGGTATAGCATCATTACTAGAATACAATATTTGGTCAGATTCAAGAAGTCCTCTTTGATTAAGCAAGTTTTTGAAGTAGTGATTGTCAAATAAGTCAGTGGAGTTCCTGTCAAGTGGGGCTGTGTTGTTTCCATCACTTGTGGAAGGGCATAAGTTTTGGAGTTCAGTCACTAGGGTGGTGTCTAGGGTTGTGTCTGGTCCACCTGATCCACTGAAGTTTGTTAATCTGTTATCAAAAGTTGCACATTTTGCTAGACCAATTGTATGAGCACCTATATATATCCACATGAAAAATAAAGTTAGTATCAAATTAAAAAGGGAAAAGGGTTCGAAATATATTCAAACTTGGATTGAAATTGCTATAACAATTTCAAACTTTGAGCATGACCTATTACCTCCCTGCACTATTTAATAGTGTATTTTAAAAATATATATAGGCCTACGTGGATATCATAAATATTGCATCATTATAAATAACAACTTGTCCAGCTGAGCACTGATATATCTTTAAAATATACTATTAAATACTGTAGGGGTAATATATAGGTACTGCCCAAAATTTGGGATTGTGACAGTAATTTCAGTCAAAGTTCGAATATATTTCAGACCTTTTTTCCAATTAAAAGTATAAAAGAGTAGTAAACATACGAAAAAGTGAAAAAGATTAAACATCTACCATATATATATAAAGAATAATTTTGATCCTCTGGTATATTTAGTGTAATTTGTTAACGAAAGGAATTTGATATATATAGTGTAATTTGTTAACGAAAGGGATTTGCTTGTGGCACCCTAGCTTTGCCCCCTTCTTATGATGACACTTTATATGGCATTATATATAGAGTTTAACTTCTATATTTTACAAGAAAACATTTATGTAATTTTACCATAGTGTAAAAGATGAGGCATAAAATAATTGGATACAATAAATTAATTAATTACTATAGCATAAAAAAATCTTCACACTCTTAGTAAATAGTTAAATTGTTTGGACTTTTTAAAAATATTACTGTATCTGTGTCAGATCCTTTAAAATTACATTACGTTTGAAACGCATCCGATAATATTTTTGAAAAGTCTGAACACAATAAATAAATATATAGTATAAATACGTTAGATTCAAGATGTACACAAACACATTTATGAGATGGTATTTGATTAAACATGAACTTCAAAAAATACTTTTGAAACTGATAGTATAAAATAAGACATAAATTTTTGCATAAATTTTTAATTTCCACATAAAAAAAAAAGAATGTTACATAAATTGAAAACTTATATTAGTACCTGATAAGCTGACAACATCAGTAACATTGAGTCCAACAACTTGGAACATGGAAATGATAGTATTGAGAGAGTGAAAAGGAGCTGGAAGTCCACTATTTGCTCCTGATACATTACCAATTAATCCATCCCTTCTTCCCAATCTCACTTTCCATGTTGGTCCTCCACTCTATATATTAATAAAAACATAATAATATTATTTGTTTGACTTCGACTTCGACTTGACATAAAGTTTTAAAAAATAATTAAACAAGACTTTTGAATTTTGTATAGTGATACTTAGAAAGTATCAAAATATTGGTCTTAAATATATCAGGTGAAAAATTGAAACTAAAGAATTTTTAGAAAAAAAGTAATTAAGACAAAAAAATTGAAACGAAAGGAATAAATAAAAGGAGCATACTAATAGGACAGAATCTCTAGCAGCAATAGCAAGTATATCAGCACAAGAAACAACTCCACTGCATGCATCTTCAACAGCTTTCTTAATATTGTCTATCACTTCAAAACCTCTAGCAGAATTTATGTTCCCTGCTGCAAACTTTTCACTTGTGGTGCTATTACCATCCAACAACAATGATCCATCACACCCCTACAATTAAATATAGTAAACATTTCAGAAGGATGGTCCGTTGAAAATCCTTTATCAAAATATTATACGGTATATATAGAAAATTATATTTTCCCTGTTTCAAAAAAAGAATGTTCTGCTTTCCTTTGTATTCTGTTGAAAAGTGAATGACTCGTTTCCGTTTTGGAAACATTTTAATTTCAACTTTTCATGTGACATGTGTTAAATCGACAAGATTAAAGAGCACTTTGATACATTTGACATAACTTTAATTTAGGACCACAAGATTAAAAAGTCTTCTTTATTTTCTTAAACTTGATGCCAAGTCAAACTATGCCTTCCTTTTTTGAAGGAGGGAGTATGAAGTATGTAGGTCACAAATATCTAAAATTAATGAAATGATTTATAACCACTGCATGAATATCTAAAATTTGTTTTAAACCATTAACTTTAAAAATATTTCTTTTTTTCTTATACTTTAATTTATGTCAAATCAAACGTGTTTCATATAAGACGAAGGGAGTAATTCCTTTTCCACGTAAAAATGATTATCGCTACGTACGTAAAGCTCATAAAAGAGAACCTTAAAACTCACATTAACAAAGCAATCATGAAAATGAAGACGAAGCAATGAAGCTGCCATTCTCATTTCATTCTTGATTGCATTTTGGACTTCTTTACGAACAACTTTGAGAACACTTGGACATGTTTTTGCATAAAAATCAGTTGTTAATTGTGAATTTACGACTACAAACATGATCATGAAAGTCACAAATAGAGAATAATACAAAGTAAAGTTGCATGGCTTCCTCATGGTTTCAAAAGTAAAATATATATATTTAGCTAGAAATGTTTATTCAAATTAAGTTGATAAGAATGTATAGTAAGCCAACCCTTATTTATAATAGTGTTTAAGAGGGCATTTGAGGTATATAATATAATATAATATAAACTTATATGAACTAATTAGTGGTGTGATGTATGGCGGCTCCATTTTACATACTTCTTGTTGATTTTATAGTGGACGTGAGTGCATGTAATGCAATTTGAACTATTTAAACTATGTAATGATATTCTATTTTATTCTATTTTTATATTTATAGTGCAATTTAACTCATTATCGGGGTGGATTTATGATAGAATATTCGAATTTTCAAAAACTCAGTAACTTTTTTTCGATCCTTATAATTATATTGAAAAATTTATTCAAATATCTTGTAGTGCGTCTGCGTGCCAGACCGCCAGTGACACGGGATTGTGTGTAACTTTTACTTCTTAAACTCATTTTTTCCATTTTCTATAATAAGAAAAATTAAAACGTTTGCACCAGCCGGGAATTTAAAATATCTTTAGAAATTCATGAATTAAAATTTTAGATCTGCCTCTGCATTTCATCAGATTATTTAATGTTAGGATAGTTATAATATAAAAGAAAAGTTCCCACATTGATTGGAGAAGCCTATTTTAGGTCCTTTTAAGGCCTAGCCCATTTAGTCTCTCTCTATATATATATGACTTGGACTTGAGCCAGATCGGATCTTTAATTAAATTTATTTTTTTGTAATTTATTTTGAATCTTATTGTTGATTTGAAATTAGAGTTTAACATTTAAAATTTTAAATGAAACAAAAACCAGCTTTGTATGTTCAGATAGGGAACAACAAACGTTTTGTCTTTCAAAAAGGAGCAACTAAATGTTGTGATTGTTTAGAAAATGAGTGTCTCTTTCATGAAAAGTCATTTGTACATGAAAGAACATGACTATTGTGAAAAGTCATTTATGTTCATGAAAGAACATGACTATTATGAAAAGTCATCTCTTAAGTTCCTATAAATATGAAGCATTTCCAAAAATAGCAAATTCAATTGCATATATATTTCAAGCTTTGTTGTATCCTAATAGAGAATTGTTTGTCATTTCTAAAAGAATATATACAAGCAATAACTTTTAAAAGATAGTGATCTTTCACGCCTCAAAGCTTTTAATTTCTCTGTTATTTTTCTTCTAACATTTAATGCATATCATAGAAATTTATGTGTAACTATCCAATAACACCATATTTCACTCAAGGTATTCAAAGTACTAGATATACTATATATTAAAAAGATAAGGTGTTTCAATATTTTTTTAAAATGATCCCGTATCTTAAACTCAATTTATAATGGCAACCAACTAAGGATACATTAAAAAAAATGTAAATTTAAAATCATTTAAGAGCTAAGTGTTGTGATACATGTTGGATGCATGCATCTTAATTAGGGTTTTGTATGAAACATGAAATCTAGAGACTGCATAATGGTAACCAATGTGGAAAGTGAGCAAGTGAAGGTTTTAATATATTACATGATGAATGCGTGGTATCATATTGAATATACAGAACTTTTGCATGCATGTTCATGAATAATCTCAACTGGTTTGAAACGGAGTGGATATTGAATATAGATTCACGTGAACTCAAAATTTTTTATTTAAAATCTATATTTGTACTATATAAAAATAAATATCTTATTATACGTCTAATTATTATTGTGTACTCACTTGAAATAGCCGTAAGAATCCATAAACTTCAAAAATTAACTCCGCGATCTGATGAACTACTTAATTGAATTTTTCTACTTATAGTGGATAATAAATAAATATGGTTGTTGTGTTATTAGTGCTTAACTACGATGAGAGCATGAGTATTATGGTTGACCAAGAAATGTTGATCAATAGGCTTATTGGAGAACTTAGGTCATCTAAAACATTATCCACGAACAAAATAGAATAAATTTTGAAAAAGTTATGTCAAATTGTTAACTGAGAAAGTATTGCTCCTTGATTTTATCATCTATACTAGAATAAAATACTTAACAACTTATCCACATGTCAATATATATATTTTTATTGAAACACAATGAGATTATCCCTTAGCAAATTAAGTTACCTACCAACTATATTGCTCGCACTCTTCAAAAATATCAAGGGGTAGGTGACTACTGCTGGAGAATTCGATACGGATGCAACGTTGAAAGTGAAGAGTCTGCGCAACTTAGCCTACCATCTAAGGAAATATTAGACCTTGTTTGATGACTGCAATACTTCTATACAACAAAGGATAATCAACCAAGTTGAGATAATTGAAGGCCAATAACCATGTGTGTTGTGACTAGTTATATGAGAAGCCATCAATATATTTAGAATATAATGTACTTGTTTTAGCTGAGTAATTAACATCTATATTTTGAAATTTTTTGAGACTTCAATTCCCAAATTAAGATGGACAAGGTCCCTAAGATCATAAGAATCAGACAACCTGAAATAATTAAGCTTGCAACAAACAACTTCTAGGACTTACTCCCTGTGTTCCAATTTATGTGATTTACTTTCCTTTTTAGTCAGACCCAAAAAGAATGACACATTTTCATATTAAGTAACAATTTAACTATAAAATGTCTGTTTTACCCTTAATGAAATGATTTACAGCCACACAAATTTCTATCAATAATTTTGGACCACAAGTTTTAAAAGTCTTCTTTTTTTTCTTAAACTTCGTGCTGGGTCAAACTACCTCACATAAAATGGGACGGAGGGAGTATTAATTAAGGCTCTGTATCAAAAGCCTAAATTTGTTCCTTGTGGAGTTCCTAAATGGAGTCCAAAAATAAAGGAAAAATTATGTATCTACACATCTTTATTTACCATATTTTCTATTATTCCCTATCATTCTAAAATATTACAAAAATTCCTCTTTTTCCTCCTAAACCTCACTCATCTGTTGGAAAACTATATGCACAGCGGAAGCATACCATAATCATACAACTTACATGAATAATAGACAACACATTGTTTATACTAAAACAAGTACAATCATGTTAGGGCATATAAACTTTCTGAATTTAATTTCAGAATTACCTCTTGAAGCGTGAGCCGATACCTTCAAGTGAATCCACAAGCTAGAAACTTCAAGCAAATTCATAAGCTAGTTCACAAACTAGACCACAGTTTTACGGTCTTCTACAGTGATCCCAAGTTCACTTCCGAACCCTCTCAATACTTGGGTGGACAAGTATTTTATGGAAAAATTATCTATTTTCAAGGGTTAGAAGAATCCCTATTTATAGAGATTTTCTTCTTAGTCCAAGGAAAAGGAATACCATCTCTTTCCTTAGAATAGAAAGACATGTACATCTCCCTTTCCTTAGAAAAGAAAAAGTCATGTCCTTCTTCCTTTCCTTAGAATAGAAAAAGTAATATACTTCTCCCTTGCCTTAGAACATAGAAAGATACATACTTCTCCCTTTCCTTAGAATAGAGAAAGACACATACTTCTCCTTTTTCCCTTTACAATAAATTTTGATTTCTAGATAAATATGGGCACGGTAGGGACCACCGAATTAATTACCGAGGCTTCCTATTATGAAAATAATTCCAAATAATTAATTTGAATTATTTTACCATAATATAATTACAAATCATTCCACTAGAAATTCGTAATTGCACTC